CTACCTTCTTTTCAAATGTAATGAGTGGAATCAGGATGTTATAATGCTGATAGCTCTGGCTGCAATTCCTTCAGCATTCATAGTACAAAACTATTAATTAAATGTGTGTGAATCATTCTGCAGCAGTTTTCTGTCCACATAGCTTTTTTGGAGCACCTCCTGTATAAAGATAGGCTGAGAAAGTTGGGGCTGTTCAGCCTGGAGAAGAGAAGGCTGCGTGGAGACCCCATAGCAGCCCTCCAGTTTCTGAAGGGAGCCTAGAAGGATGCTGGGAGGGACTCTTCATTAGAGACTGTAGTGATAGGACAAGGAGTAATGGGTTAAAACTTAAACAGGGGAAGTTCAGATTGGATATAAGGAAGAAGTTCTTTATTGTAAGGGTGGTGAGGCACTGGAATGGGTTGCCCAAGGAAGCTGCGAATGCTCCATCCCTGGCAGTGTTCAAGGCCAGGTTGGACAGAGCCTTGGGTGGCATGGTTTGGTGGGAGGTGTCCCTGCCTATGGCAGGGGGTTGGAACTAGATGATCTTAAGGTCCTTTCTGACCCTAACTGTTCTATGATTCTATAGCAAAAATGTCTCTTCCTTCTCTGCATGAATTTGGAAGCAAGTTATCTTACTGCTCTGATAAAACTCTTACCATCTTTCAGAGAAACAGCACAGATCAAAATACCATCTTTATCAGAAAATTATAAGAACATACAAGAAATCTGTGGAGGGACTTGTTACAAGGGCATGTAGTGATAGGACAAGGGGGAATGGCTTTAAACTGAAAAGGGAGACTTTAGATTAGACATTAGGAAGAAATTCTTTACTATGAGAGTGGTGAGGCACTGGCACAGGTTTCCCAGAGAAGTTGTGGCTGCTCCATCCCTGGCAGTGTTCAAGGTCAAGCTTGAAGGGGCTTTGAGCAGCCTGGTCTAGTGGAAGGTGTCCCTGCCCATGACAGGGGGTTGGAACTGGATAAGCTTTAAGGTCCCTTCCATGGTCCCAAACCGTTCTGTGGCTCTCTGATTCTGAGGACATGCCCAGCCTGTGGCATGCTGCAGGATGTGCTTGCACATGCCTGTTCTGCCACAGCCTGGGGAGACAGCAGGCAGCCCTTTCCAGTTCAGCAGTAGCCTTCTGCACTCATAGACATTCCTACTGGAGTTTACTCACTTTCTGGATTTGATCTTTCTTTTCAGCAACAATCCCTTTGCATTAATACATTTTCCTTCCAGCCTGATGTATATGTAAAAATTTCAACTCATAAATGTCAAATCAGTCAAGATCAGCTGACAAGTAAAGGTGAAATTCACTCCAGCTCAGAAGGGCTAAAATAGACTTCTCTGCTAATTAAATCCCACTTAGACTTTATTTCTTTTTTCTTTTTTTATTAAATGTTTGCCCATGGTCTGTGCTAGGCTCATGTGCAATGGGATTACTACTTCCCACATACACATTGGCGATCTAGAGCAGTGACCAAAGTTACAATAGTACCACTTCTCATATCTTTCTTAAAGAAAAGTTATACCTAAGTTTTAATTGCATTGTCATTTATTCTAGAGGGAATTTTCTGCTTTGCTCTGCAGGGTGTGGTTTAGGATTGGGTTGTTTGGTGGGGTTTTTCATTCAGTTTTTTATTATTTTTTTTTTTTTATTAAAGAAAGCTTGCCTGAATAAGGAGACCAATGGGAGCCCTTAAGCCTAGCAGGTCAGTTGTAAACAGAAAATTAAAAGCACTCAGAAATAATTTGAAAAGCTCTGTAGAAAAGATGCTCAAACCATTAGTAAGAAAAAATAAGAAGCAGGAAGCCAGCCCAACAAAGTGTTGGCCTTTCCAGCTGAAACATTGAAGAGGTTCTTGCATCTTGCACCTTCCTTGTAGCAGAGATGTCAGAGAAACTGAACTAAGTTGAAGGAAATTTAGAAGAATATGAGACGACATAGGAATGATGCTAACAGGCATCTAGGGTGGCACTCGTGAGATTCCTGGAAGAATGCAATTAGGAAATGGCAGAACTGCTTCGCATCGTGCATAAGCTGTTTTCAAAGAGCTACTCTGTCAGGGGACTGGCATCCTTTAAACTGCAGACTGAGGAGTCTTGAGTTCTTTTTCTGGTGCCAAAATAGCTGATAAAAAGGTCCCTGAGCACATGGATAAGTATGGGCTGTGGGAGAGAGTTAGCATAGCTTCAGTTGTGTCCTGAACAAACTGGATCTAGTGGACACAGAAGTCTTCAGCAAGGTTCCACATTACAGGATATTCAAGAAACTACATTTACACAGAGATGCAGGAGCAATCTTTGTGGCCTGAAAACTGATTAAAGGATTGGAAGCAAAATGGTCACCCTCCAGGATGGTGAGGAGTCAGCAGTATGGTTCCCCAAGGTATGATGCTGGGTTTAGTTTTCAACATTTTCATCAGTGGCTTGAGGGATAGAGTAAAAACTGAGATCTCCACCTCTGCACATGACATTAAGCTCTTCTGGTTAACCAACTGTTGATTCATTTGGTAAGAAACAACACTGACTGACTAGGCAAGATGTTAGCCAATACACTTTTATGTGGGTAAATGTAACATTGTATTGCTATGAAAAACAGCCTAAACTACTACTACAAGTTACTGAACTTGTAGCTAGCAGTCACAGAGGTGGAGAAAAATCAGTGTCATTGGTTACTGTAGTCTGAAGTTATTAGCTCTATGAGAATAGCAGGAAAAAAAAGCCAAAACCTGATGGATGTTGTCAGAAGAGAGGGCGTAACTTTTCCCATTTTTTGAGCTGTGGTGTACCCTCGGTTTGATCATTGCATTCATATATGATTGCTGTGTTCTCATGAACAATGAAATGGAATTACACTGTAACACGTTAAAAAAGGGCAAATAAATGAGCAAGGGGACAGACCAGGTGGCTTATGAGATGATACTGAAAAATCTGATACTTCATATTGGAGATAAAGAGCATGAGCACAGTTAAGGTTTAAAAACCCCTGAAGGTGATGGATAAGCCACACGTGGAGCTTTTATTCTTAAAATCCTGCAGTACAACAGAGGGCATCTTCAATAAAACTAGTATGGAAATTAATTTAAAATACATAAAAGTAAGTCCTTTAGACAGATGGCCATAAAATTCTGAAGCTTGCATCCACAGGAGGTAGTATCAGAAGATTTGAAAAGCAATTAGACAAATTCATGGACAACAAGTCCATAAATAGACAATGAAAAGGCCTGGGAAGAGACACTCTAGCACAAAAAATTGTGTGGCTTCTGGGGGAATAAAAAGAGAATGAACAGCAGAAAGTAGACAGGTGTATAGAGTCTCCCTAAACAGCATCTCTTATTGCCTTTCTCAGACAGTTATAGATCCTGTGCTTGGGGGGGTCTGACCTGGTGAGGTGGGTTTTTATGTTCCTATGTCATGGCTAATGAACCAAAGCAGTGTTGTAAATAAATTCACATATATGCACACCATCATATGTGACGCACCAACATCATATGTTACAGTAGCACAGAAGAATCCTGTATTCAGAAAGATGCTGGAAATGGTGAGAAAGAAGGCACGGCTGGTTGCATATACTCAGCTATTTTAGAACACAAATTATTAGTGTCCAAGCTCTGCACATGGAAAATTGAAGACTACATGTTATGGTAAGTCTAAATCAGCAGCTTCGTGGTAGTTCCTTACCGATTCAGAGCTTCGTTACTCTGGGGAGAAAGAATACCAAATGAGGCAGCAGGTTCCCCAGAAGCATGCAAGCCTACCTAGAAACATGTTCACTACTGCCTCTTTTGAGGCTGTTCACAAATACTCTGAGTATATGCTTGAAAGTGAACAGATTAATAATTCTTAACAAATATGCTGTAAAATATTTGCCAACCAATACATGCAGAGAAAAATCATGAGCTTTCTAAGACAAGGTTTTAACTTACATGTATATGAAAGTATTCATTTAGTACATTAGGATCTCACATGAACAAAATTTTAAAAAATAGTTTCCTGGTTTTACTTTCTTTTTAAATTTCAGCAATCTTCTGTAAGGAAAGTAGGTTGGTCTGATTCTCTAAGTACAAAGTTAAAATTTTTGTGTCGCCCTAATTCTCAGCACTAATTGGATCCAAGATAGATTTTCCTGGGCTTTAAACAATGAACTTTCAAAAACCTATTCTCTGTGGTAGTGTAATCAAAAATGAAATTGTATCTTAAAAAAAAACAGAAAGTTTTGAAAAAAAGGTTAAAATAAATATGGGGACACTGTTTTTGCTGGTTTAAGCAATGGTCATGATGAGAAGGAGAATTTCATTAGATGAAAGCCAAAAGACCTTCAGACTTGCAAAATCATGATGAAAATATCAAATCTCAACATAAAATAATAAAAGTACAGGGTCTCAGACTATACCATTCAAGTCAGCAAAATCAATTCCCTGAAAACTTCTGTAATCAATTGCTTGAAACAATCTAATATTTCCCAGGGTCAAGAAGAATTTACTGTGAAAGAAATCCCTGAACCTAAGGAAATGCCTGTCATAGCTGTCATGGTAAACGGTACCAACCCAGACAGCACAATGGAGCCTCTTAGCGCTGCACAGAACAGGAGGACTTGCTTTGGACTGGGAGCTGCTCCTAATTTTCTGGGGAAAAAGCTTACTTTGAAGTATTGTAAGCTTGACATTTTTGGCAGGTCACTTGAGGAACTGCTGGTATGCATTTAAGTGTCTCATGCATCTACTCACTGGTACTCTGTTAGCTTTAATGAACACATACGTGTCCATCAAAAATGGACCTTGAACTTGAAAACTTACCCTAGGCACTTACAGAAACATGTCCTGCCTGCTCTGCTGCTTCTAAACAATCTTTTATCTTTGGTAGATGATATAAGTGAGCCTGACACCAAACAGGGGTCAGATACAGTTTCAGGAAACTGTCGTATCCTTCTTCACATCATTAATAATAGAAGGAGTGTGCACAGCCAGGAAGCAGAAGCTGGGGCTGTTTTCGTTATTACTCTACAGGGCAGAAATATGGATTTCTCTGTTTTGCCAAACAACAATCATCCCGATAAATTCCTGCAACTGGAGGTGAAGTCTTTGGCAAAAAACTCTGCCTTTCTACAAGCCAGCCTGGCAAAATTCCCAGAAGCAGCTTTACCTGGAGTGCAGCAGTGGCACAACAGGGTCTATTTACAGGTAAGGTCTAAAAAAAGCTAACATTTTTCCTGATTTTTCTACCTCTTTTCTTGGGATCAGGAGATAAATGAGTTTGAGACTTCAGCTGCGGATTCAGGTTCCTGCATCTCTGAATCTGCATCACTAATATATCAGCAAGTTTTCCCATTGACTTCAGTGAGGATCAGGCTCCAAGAGAGGAGTTATTCTCTTCAGGGCAGTGTGCTGGCTTTATTTCAGTATGTTAGGCTTTCTACAGCTCATTGTAATGTTTTCAAAGCATTTCCCAGAAAGTCTACCAATGTCAAATACTGATTAATTGTCCTAAAGGGGCAAATGGCACACTTTCTCTGAAGAAAGAAAAAAAAAAAAACAACAACAAACCAACTTAAATCTGAAATTCAGGTCATATCCTTCAAACTCAACGAAAAGGCACATTAGAGAGAGTATTACAGATTCTTGCAAGTGTATCTATGTCTACAGAGTTCACCATAGCTTCCTCTTTTTTTTGCCTTGTTTTTCCCATTCTACTTTGACCTTCCTGTCCTGACAGACAGCTGTTGAAAGTGTGAAACACACTGACTGTATTAATCCAGGTTATTATGCAGACATAGCAGCTGTTTCGTGGTAAAAAAGTAAATGTGCGCTGCCTAGTGGAGGCCCTGCAGCCAGCGGAGAAGTTCATGTCTGGATCAGCAGCAGTTCAGCTGCATCAGCTCACACCCCTCTGGGCCCCACTTGCTGCTCCACAGTGCTCCTTTCCTGCTGCCCGGGGAGCCCCTCTCCTTTCCCCACCCCTAGAATGAGTAAAAGCTCCTAGGTCTGGTTCTTGTCAACAGATGGAGAAGTACATAAGCAGTTGGGGAAGGGGGGGGTGAAGGATGGAGAAGGGCCTGCATCCTCAGTATCCTTATGGTTGGGGTCCACTTCTCCAGGAGAAGTGGAGACTAAGAAACACAGACCTGCGGGGGGGAGGGGAGAGAGAGAAAGACCCTTAAGGTCTTCCTCCCCCCACCCCCCCCCCCGCCCACCCCAGCTACTTCCATTTGCACTTCTCCCCTCAGACATTTCTCCACATCCCCAAATCCCTTTGCTCCCTCTCAGAGTCTGTTCCAGCCCTCATCCACATGCAAAGCCCTCTGCCTCCTGACACCCGCTTCCATTATCCACCCCGCACCCCAGCCCCTCCCGCTTACCTTCCCTAGCCCCTTCCCCAACCCAGAAACCCCTCTGCCTGCCCCAGTGCCTCCAGCTGCCTCTGCTGGTATTGTATAATCTTTTCTGGCAATTCCCCAAGGAGAGCTGGGAGGGGGGGACACATGGTCACCCGTTGTCTCCTATGCACAGCGCCCTAACCAAGGGAAGGAGCCTGCGGGATCCAAACAATGGGGTATGGTGCAATGCTGGCCTCGCTCCCCACCCCACCTAAGCCCCTCTTTTGTGCAGGAGAGAGGCAGCCACACACAGAGCCTCCTTCGCAGTAGGGATCCTTCTCCCCATTGTTAAACAGGACTCACTGTCACCGAGCCAGGGCTGCAAAACTGCAGGAGGATTAAAAATGTGTGGGGAGCCCTGCGCTTTTTCGGCTTTTGCTCTGCCTTTCACCACTAGCAAGAGGGTTTTCCTGGAATTCTGTTCCCAGCCCTGGGATGGCCTTTTCAAAAGAGATGTCTGTGCCCGCCATGTCTCCAGAAATGCAGTTTGCAATGCAGTATGTTTTATAAATGTTAAACCGAGGGCACAACCTATACTTTTGAGTGCAGTCACTGGTGAATTTAAGCTGTCCAGATAAAATTCATTGTGCCTTATTCTCTCTCCCTTATGTGCTTGCCTCCTTTTTTCCTTTTTGCTGACAATCAAATAAAGGAAAAAGAACTGATGAGTTCCAGACATTAGAATAAACACAATGCACAGTGAAGAACTAATGGCACAGGAATAATATGTTTTGCTTTAAGATGAGAGAGCTAATGGGGTTAAGGGTTAGTTAATTCAGAAACGGAAACGGGGGGGGGGGGAGGGAAGGACAAGGGAGGAGAATTCATTTCAGAACATATGTGCGTGACCTACAGACTCCCATAGTCATTAAACGCTGAGAGCAGCCTAAATTCCCTCTTCAGAAATCGATTTTATTTTTAAGAAACTATTGCTACTCAGGACTCCCCATGTAAAGTGACTTCTCAGTGGCGTGTTTGGGGTCTCTTCCAGACTTTTGTTATGAGATCACTTAAATGCATGTGCACTTAAGTGCTTATATGTTTTCTTCACCTATAAGATTTTAAATTTATTTCCATTATGAAAAGCCACTGGACATAACAACAATTCTTATTGCTGACCAACAAGTTGCTGCTTTTCCCACTTACTTTCCTCTTCGGTATTAGGCAAACTGAACAGCTTCCTTCTTAATGTATATTTTCATCGTCTACTTTGAATAAAACAAACAATAGAGCAGTATAGGAATCTTAGTCCTTCCTTGTGAAAGGCAGCATAAAAAGCACAGACTGTTTCTCCTGCAGATGGCTAGCTAATGACCATTTTCTGATTGCCCTGAAAATGTCTGGTCCTACTGGACTCTCTGCCCCACAATATGTTTTGACGCTCAGCATAAACCAGATGATTAATCCCCTACATCCACTTCTGATAGCCAGGGTGCATGACTCCCCTGTAGTCTACCTTGTCATTTTCTGCAATTCTCAGAATTCTATTTCCTGTTTATGTTTACCCTTTTTTCCCCTATTTCTGGAAGATGGCAGGAAGCATTTGGTTTTTGAACACCATGCTGTTCCTTGTCATGCTGCTCTTACTCTGGAATTCATAACTGTGAACAAACTGTGGCCTGCAGGTGTTACAGTTATCACATTAATTACTCCTAACCTCTCTTGGTTTCTCGTCTGAGCTAATACCTGTGTCCTGCCTTGTTCCTCACTGTACTAGGACAAGAGGTAACTGAGCACAAAGTAGGTGCTCAGTTACAGTCACTTTTTTTAGCCCCTGGCTCATGGGTGCATTACATACTTCCACTCTTTCCCTTATTCTTGCCTAGACATCTGCAACTGGCCTCAATCAGACCCAGCTACAAGGCTGGCCGGAGCTTTTGTCTGACACCATGCAGAAGATTTTGTATATTGCACTCACAACCCTGCAGAATTCCATTACCAATGACAGATAAAACAGCTTTCTTTGGGTAAACAACTCGGTATGAGGACAGAAGTACTCTCAGTGCTGCACAGAGTCCATATGAATGCCTATTTTAAATACCCTTGTCAATTTAGCTTAAGTGTTTATAGCCATCTAGTGATCTTCCTCCTATTCATGTCAGGTGGCTCCCTGACAGGTTGCTTTGATGCTGCCTTAGGTCTTTGCAAGCAATTCTGATCCCCTTCAGTTCAGTTATGCATTCATAAAATCACAGAATCCTAGAATGGTTTGATTTCGAAGGGACCTTAAAGACCATCCAGTTCCAACCCCTCTGCCATGAGCAGGGTCATATCACATTAGACCAAGTTGCTCAAAACCCCACCCAACCTGGCCATTAACACTGCCAGGGATGGGGTAGCCACAGCTTCTCTGGACAACCTGTACCAGTGTCTCACCACCCTCACAGTAAAGAATTTCTTCTGAATATCTGAATATCTAATCTACATCTTCCCTCTGTCAGTTTAAAGCCATTCCCCCTTGTCCTGTCACTACATGCCTCTGTAAATAGTCACTCTCCAGATTTCTTGTAGACCCCCTTTAGGCACTGGCAGGCTGCTCTAAGGTCTCGCCTGACCCTTCTCTTCTACAGGCTGAAAAAGCCCAACTCTCTCAGCCTATCTTCATAGAAGAGGTGCTTTAGTCCTCTGACCGTCTTTCTGGGCTCCTCTGGACTCACTGTGGATTCCCAGGAATCCCTGATGTGAGGTGTATGCCCTGCTGCCTTTCAGATCCACTTATGTATCTTCAGCTATTCCTTGCCTTTCTGACTGCTATTCACATGAGATTGGATTTGTTTAGGAAATTCTAAAGAGCTAATAATTATTTATCCTGATAAATGACCTTTTTTTTATTGACCAGATGCCTAGCAATACCTATACAGGGTATACTATTACAGTGATTCTTGGGTTACTACTTGGCAGCCTTTTGTCTGCCAGACCTTTTTTCTGTCTTAGAAACAGGCCTCTATCAGAAAAATGCCCTTCCAAGTGCTGGGAGAACTCTCCAGGGTGCATTACAAGGCTTTTACACAACAGAGGGTTATAGTCTTAAGCAATTTACATGCAGATATAATAATCAGTCTGCTATTCACTTTCATTAGTATTGATGAAATTGTTACAAAACAAATCCTGCAGCATCTGATGGCCCTAAATTTCCTTAAGACTCCCTTCATTAAAATGTTAAGGCATAGCTGCCCACGGCCAGCATTTGTTACTTTCACTGAGTACCTCCCTCTGCAGCAGCTCAAGACCATGGCTGGCCATGGGACACATGAATCTAACTCTTCCTGGGAGGCAGTGAAGACAAATCTTACTTCCAGGAAGTAAATTCCCTTAATTGTTTAGGTGTCTCTTTGATTTCTTCTTGCAGGTAAATAGGCTTGAGACCAAGGCCTAACCTTAACTGCAGATGTCCTAATTTTGGTGGGTAATTAGCTTGATGTCTCTATCACAGACTGAGGAGAGAACAGTTAGACAACCAGGTTATTTCAGTGTTAGCAACAACAGCAACTGAACAACAGGGAACAAAAGGATAAAGTCAAGAAAAATGAGATAAAAATGTTTCCTAGCAATATAGATTATTTTATAATTTTAATTTTTTTAATTTATATATATTGTAATGTACTTGTATGCATTATGTGTATTATGAAATAATCAGCAAGAAAAACGTGGAGTAAGCACATCTTCACCCAGGGATGGAACTGGAACTAACATTGACTGTCTATAGATCTTCAGGCTTTTTACAGAATCCTTTTTCTGTACATGCCGGCTCTCTGGGTCTGTTGAAGAGGGACAAACTGTTCTCAGTGAAACATGAGTTCATAGAATCATAGAATGGTTTGGGTTGAAAGGGACCTTAAAGATCATCTAGTTCCATACCATAACAGCTTTCACGTTCATGAAGCTGTATGTACATTAAACGCAACTATGTTTGCAGAGTTGAGCATTTTTTGTCTTGTTAAATGAGTATTTCATCAACACATTTCATCTACAGTTTCTCATAGTTGCTGCTATGAGTATTTGCTTTTCCCTTCTTCATTCAGCAAATAGTAGCATAAATTGCCTCTGATTTGATGTGTTCCAACCTTATTCACCCTGCCTTCTTAGACACAGTGTATACCATATAAATTCTGTAATGCATATGGATACCTAGGTTTACAATACTTCCCTCTTTCTTTGAATATTTGTTTCATGAATCAGAATCAAAACATAGAAGTATGTAACAATTGTTGGGAGATGTGTTAAATCTTAAAAGAAGTACAATTTCTTTTAGAACTACTACTAGGTACATTTTTATTATCTAACCTTCTGTTTCTCTGCTTCTTTAAGTGCATATGTTTCATGCAGTTTTCCTCATCTTTCTCTGTACAATTCATTGGACCTAAACCTTTGGGGGTTTTTGTTTGGTTTTTGTTTTGTTTTGGGGTTTTTTTTTTGTATGTGCTTCAGGCTTCTGTGCTTCCTTTTCCCTAACTAGTGTCTAGGACATCTGTCCTGTGAAATGCAGAAGTTTCATAACTAACCATTTGCCTGCACTCAAGTGTATTCTCCCTATTAGCTTGGCACTTCAGTGTCTGTTTTCTAAAACTTCTGCAAACTATCTCCTACCCAAAATTCAAGTCCAGTTTTCATGTTAAAACCCTGTTTTTCCCCCCATTGTCCCCCTCCCCACTCCCCATATTCTACTATTTTTGTGTCTGTGAAAAGGAAGGTACTACAGGCAGAAGGGGGAAAAAATTTGCCACAAAGCACTCTCTTTATGAACAAATTTTGCATCACGCCATCTATTCCAAGATTTGGAGCATTTTATTTAAAACAGCTTTAGAAATTACTGTCAAGCTGCGTTCTTTTCACAACATTTTAGCCTAGGGAGACCAAGCATCCCCTGGTGAGACAGTTCACGTTCTTCAACAAAATGTTCTCCAAGTTCAACTATCTAGCAAGCCTGAGGGAAGCATCATTGAGGTCAATGACAAATTTTAAATAATAAAATAAAATTAAAAAAAGAAAAAAATAAAATAAATAAAATAAAATGCAGCCAGAAAGAAATGACATAAAAACACCAGCTCAGCTGAAATCTGGCCAGTACAACCCAGAGGGCTTCAGTGCCAGCTGTAACTGCAATGCAAAGAGTAATATTGTCAGGGGATATGTCAAGGCTAAGGAATGACTTATGGAAATTATGAACTGACAGACTGGGAGAGCACTGTGGATCCACCCACCTACTAATGATAATTATTGATGGGAAACATGCTTAGTCACTTGTGCACAATTTCACAGAATCATAAGGGTTGGAAAGGACCTTAGGTCATCTAGTTCCAACCCCCCTGCCATGGACAGGGACATCTTACGCTAAATCATATCACCCAAGGCCTTGTCCAACCTGGTCTTGAACACTGCCAGGGATGGAGCATTCACTATCTCCCTGGGCAACCCATTCCAGTGCCTCACCACCCTAACAGAAAAGAATTTCCTCCTTATATCCAATCTAAACTTCCCCTGTTTAAGTTCGAACCCATTACCCCTTGTCCTATCACTACAGTCTCTAATGAAGAGTCCCTCCCCAGCACCCTTACAGGCCCCCTTCAGATACTGGAAGGCTGCTATGAGATCTCCATGCAGCCTTCTCTTCTCCACGCTGAACAGCCCCAACTTTCTCAGCCTATCTTCATACGAGAGGTACTCCAGTCCCCTGATCATCCTCGTGGCCCTTCTCTGGACTTCTTCCAACAGTTCCATGTCCTTAGCAACAAGAATGCCAGCATGATGCTTACTCCTAATGTTTCTTAGACAAAGGCTGTTGTTTTAAGTTCTTCACCTTTCCTTTCTGAAGGAAACCAGTCCTCTCACTTCCTTCTACACCTGCCTCACCCAGACCAACTCACACATCTGTGTGTGATCACAGGCACTGAGGCATAAAGTAGGTGATGACATGTAGCAGCTGGCTTCCACAGAAAGTGGCTTCACCAGCCCATGAAGAGGGCAAAAATTACTCAAGCAGAAGAAGACAACAGTTTGCTATCAGCTTAGGGACCTGCACTGGGCGATGTGAAATACAAGCTGCTCTCAGAGCCCATGGGTGGGAGGAGGTGGGATCCCAAGGGCTGGAAGGACAAGCAGAATGTGCCTGTAGCAGCAACAAGCCCTTTGTCTGCTGAAGTCCATCCAGCCCATGGCACCTTAACAGTTGGAGTTCTTGACGTAAATGAAATATCCTCAGAAAGACATCCTTTCATAGAAGTAAGTTTCTCAGGTGCCAGCCTCTTAATTGGCTTTTCATTATGTGCACTCACTTTATGTGTGATTAGCAATTTCTAAGGGTGGGAGAGGGCTGGGGATGTTCAGGGCCACCAAGTGAAGCAAAGGCTTTCCTTTTCTCAAATATAAAATTCCTAAGGACAAAGTTGAGAATGGGAAAGCAGGATTTGCTAATGAAGAAAACTGAGTTTACACTGTGATGGCTCTGTAGAAACCGTCCTGAAACACAGGAGAGGTGTTAGTGCAAGGCAAGGGCTCTGCCAGAAGCAGGTCTCTCTGGAATGTGGGACACCACCAGAACACCAGAGACAGGTTAATTTAAAGTCTCAGGGACAGAAGGTTGTGGTGAACCAAAATGTTGAACAGCTTGAACTGGAAAGTCTGCTTGTATTCCTCTGTGCAATGACAGATCAAAAAATAGGGTAACTAATGTCTTACTGGCTTCTGAAGAGGCTCTTAGTGCTGTGTTAAGCAGCAGCTTGCGAGTTCTCAAAAAAAAGTGATTCCACTAGGGTTGTTCATCCTCCTCCCTTGACAACCTCCCGTTCTAAATTGTCCAATTTAACAATTGTTGTCTCTGGGAGACTGCTCAGATATTTAATTACCTTTGAGTTCTGAAAGTGCCCAAATTAAGAATTCTTCCTCAGTTGAATGAAGGTCCTCTGACATCCTGACACAGGTCTAGCATTCAATGGCATGAACAGAACTGCAATCACACCCCTGCTGTCAAAGGCGCAGATCCAGCCAAGGCAGTCACTTGCACACTATGACCCCTGTGCTTCATTCTGCTTTGTCCTTACAGCCCTCCTTCTGCACCATATACCCATGGCTTTCAACAGAACTACATCTTCTACCTCAGTGCTCCATAGCACTGTTTTGCTAAAGCAGAGGCTTTCTTTCAGCAGGCATTATAACGTCAGTTTGCATTTGGAAAAGAGCTTAATGTTCAGACTGTACCCATGTGCTTTCCCCAGAAGGAAGAAATCTGCCCAGGGTGAACAGTGAGGCTCCCTTACTGCACTGCAGATGTTTGCCAGAATGAGAAAAATTCTTGCATGTGTAATTTTGATTCTGTTGTATTACAAATGATAATTCTGGAAGGGGGACTGTGTTGTAATTAAATGAAGATGAAAGCCAACTTCTGGTCAAAATTGTGCCTTACAGAAAGAAAAAAGAAATGTCACTAAGTTGCCGGGCTTAGACTCAAACAGGGTCAGTAAAGAAATGATAGACAAAGCCCTCGGGAAACACATTACCCCCATCACCCTGAAATCCACTATCAAAAGCAACCCTTTGTATAGCGATATCCAGGTGGATGATGAATTGGAGGAGAAGAAAAAGACCCCTTCCTGGACTGTGCAAGACTATGACAGACACTCACTGCACTCTAACTTGGCCAGCCAAATAAAGGTAACTCACTGTTGCACTCTGTTTAAACAAAGTGAATTGCTATGTGGGGTGTGCATGAACCTACTGTGAAACCCACTTGGCTCTTTTTGTGAGATTCCAGAAGTAAATATGGATGTATTTTCTGCTACAAACATGACACTAACATGAGTCTGATCAAGAAAAGATGTCAACATATCTGGCTAGACTCCAGAAATTTCAGTTCTGCAGAACCTGACCTCTGTGACCAGAGAAAATCTTAAACTGCAACACCCCACAACTCAGCTTCTCTGTTAATATAGGGAAGGGCTGTAAATGAGAGACTTAAACACTATATAGTCACTTCAACAACTGTTCATAACATCATTCTGTTATCAAATAAGGTGCATTTTCCAAGCCTTATCCACACTATGCAGGATCCTATCTGCCTGTGGGTAGGCACAAATCCCTTTTAAGGTTACTATAGTAAGCATTTTTTCTACTGTTCCCTTTTTTTTGGAAAGGGACTCAGATCTGTGTTTATAGATCAACGTCTCTTCTTGTGAAGACTACATGGTTTCTTTGGTTTTTTTTTAATCACATTTCAAAGGCTGGTGTCCTACATTTGGTTCCTGGTTGAAAAGTGTGGTTTTTATTCTTGCCGGTGGAAAATTTGCAGCATCTGGCAATGTACATTCATAGCACAACCTATGTTAGTGAAAGTTTTTTGCATTTGTGTTGTGATGCCTTAAATTCATTAATCATTATCTGATGATAGCCAAAATACTTCTGGCTATGTCCTAATGACTTTATATGCAAGACAGGAACTGAGTTAATTTTCTGGTTTTTCTTTTAGGAAAATCCTAACGATCTACAATTCTGGATGGGGGATATTTATACTCCTGGATATGATACCTTGTTAAAAAAGAAAGAGAGAGAAAAAAAGCATTCGAAATGTTGCCGAATCATCCTGCTCATGATACTAGCTGTTTGCATCCTAATTGCCACAATCACACTCAGCATTTTACTTACTTAGTACAGCCAAATAACGTTGATGGGAATGTTTTCAATAAATATTTTTTATTAAGGTATTCTCCCCCCTTGTTATATTTGAATTCTTTCTTCTTTTCTTTTTTTTTTTTTTTTTTAATCACAATTGCTATTTGTTTGAGATCACTAGTTTACAATGTTCCTATGCAGCATAAGGAATTGATCCTGGAAAGAGACAAATACTCTGAGCACAGCAGCATGGCTTCTCATGGGTATAATTAAAAAAGAAAACTATCAATATGCTACTTTCCTTACTGCATTCTTTGGACTAGTGATCTGCATCAGCATGTATGGTATGGTATTTACTGTATGTACAGACAAACAGCTAAGTAATCATTCTAATAAACACCTACCATCCTGTTCATCTTTTTATGATAGCTAATATTGCAGCTATTATCACAGAATCATAGAATGGTTAGGGTTGGAAAGGACCTTAAGATCATCTAGTTCCAACCCCACTGCCCTGGGCAGGGACACCACAGGCTAAACCATGTCCAACCTGGCCTTGAACACTGCCATGGATGGAGCATTCACAACTTATTTGGACAACCTGTTCCAGGACCTCACCACCCTGACAGTAAAAAACTTATTATTGGAATAGAGAAAAGTATTATAAAGCAGCATTCAAGATGTTCCAAAGAATTCTAAAGCAACAAATTATACATTACTTAGAGACAGAGTGCATTGCTGCAATGATGCAGCACTTCTTAGTAAAAAGTCAGCCTAAATGCATAAATGCTTTCTTAAACTTTTTCAGAGAAAAAACCCAAAAGATAGACCAGTGAGCTTCTATCAAAATAATTGCCTGAGACCTGAGATAGTGTTTCTTCATGCCTGTGTCGTGGTTTTTGAACACATAGAATCTCTGTCAATCCAAAAAACAGAGTGTCAATATTTTTTTAATCTGACATATCAAAAGCTCAAGCAAAATTGATGGAGTAGTAGAGTATAAACTGGGATTGGGATACACCTTAAAAGGGTAAAAATTACATAACTGTTCTGTGAAAAAGGGTCTTTCTTTGTAAATGAAAGGACAAAGGGAAATGTTCAGAGCACTCAGACAATTAAGTTCATAAATTCAGCATAATTTAGGAGAATGAAAACGTGAGAAAAATGACAAAATAAAAAGTGAGTGAACAGAGAACTTAAATTTGATTTAGTTTCTGAAAAAATGAGTGTTGCAAACCCTTTATACCCTCTACATAAGGGTAAGGAGCTATGAACACTGTTGAGATGTGGATCTCCTTCACTGACACAAGAGAATCTCACAGATGCACAAAAGCTGGGAAGTTGGGGTTATAACAGATCTACCTGTCTTCACAAAAATCTGCTTTGGAGTAGGTCAGGAGTAGGACCAAGGTAGAAGCTATGCATTGTCACATCTGAATTCTAGCATGCGTCCTACTTACAGCAGCTTTGCAGTGCTTTAAGTCAGATCAGGATGGATTCAACATCAAGTACAGCGTGACAGTAAGATAAGTGTTTTTAATTCCTTCCTTCGTCACCTGGTCCATGTCTGAATCTCATTTGTGCCATAACCACTTGGACGCTAGCCTAGCTTGGACCGGTTCAAACACCCAGGCTAAAACAGCTTACTGCTTTAATCCGGCAAGAAGCCAACAGCAGAACTGTAGCAGCATTTTAATGCATTGGCATAAAATTAGTATCCTTGTTACAAAACAACATTGCTGTAAATGTTCACTGGAACTCAGTCTCCTGGCTTGCCACAGTTCCAGTATAGAGGGGTGTTTGCTCTGAAAAATCAGGTCCATTCAGCTTATGAAAGTAAGAACTTGGGAACATTTTACAAAACTAATAGCTGACATTATGAAGTAATTATTCACATTGAAACAATACCTAACTGCTTTTTCCACCCTAAGTACATTTGCTTTAAATGCATCGCATACAATGAAGAGTTGTATTTTTGTAAATTACTGAGGCCTGCAGGCGGGAAGCCTGAAAGTAAAGGGCTCTGTAATTTCCAGGAAAACAGCCAATAACGCAAGTTTCTTAATTGCATTGCCCTCTGAGGGCCTAGCAGTAGGGATAAAACCGTTTTCTCCACAAGCTCATTACTGGCCGTGTCAGCCTGGTTTCACCGCTGTCATCTAGCGGAGAGTCAGAAAGGAGGAAAAACGCCTCAGGCACGGAGGTGCCGGTTTGAAGTCATTTGAAATTTTTATTTTTTTTTTCTTTTGGGGGTGGTTCTTGGTTTTTTTATTTCCCGCTCGCGCCCTTACGATGCAGGTTCCTTTGCTGACACCTCGTGGCAGAGAGCGATGGGCGGGCGGGCACGGAAGCGCCGCGCCGCGTGCGCAGACTGCCCTGTGCGGACGCTAGTGTGGGAGACGGAGGGAGGTAAAGGTGGTTCAACGATCTCTGCGGGAGCGTCTGCAAGACCTGGAAGAGGCCCGGGCAGGGGCCTGCTGCTGCCGGCTTCAGAGGGCCTTCGTGGGGGTGGCCCTTGCGTGCCTAAACGCGAGCTGCGCACTACGGTTTGAGAAAATAAATAACAATTGAATGCTTTGAGGGGGATAAAAACCAAACCAAACCACCACCACCACAACAAAAAACAATGCAAAAACCCCCCACACTAAACAAACAAAATTAAAAATTAAAACTGTCAGACTGAGAAACAAAGACCTCTCTTCAAGGGGGAGTGTGAAGCCTTGGGATCTTTCATACCATGTGCTTAGTCTAAAAACAATTGATCAGGCATTGGAACAGGCTTCCGGGGGAAGTGGTGGAATCACTGTCACTGAAGTATTCAAAAACCGTGCAGACAAGGCCCTCAGTGACATGGTCTAGTGATGGGCTTTGCAGGCCTGGGGTAATGGTGGGACTTGATGGTCTAAAGGCCTTTTCCAACCTAGTTGATTCTATGATTCTAATTAAGGAGACGCCCTTTCTTTAACTACTTGGTGAAGGAGTTCACATGTGTTGTACAAGAGCAACTGAAATTTTGGATTCGTAAGACTGCTTTGTGTTGCCCCTTTTACATTGAGGATTTTGATTTTTTTTTTTTTTTTTTTTCCTGTGGGTTGTTTGGGGGGGTGGGGGGGGAGTGTTTTGATTTTTGTTTGTTTGTTTGCTTGTTTGTTTGTTTTAAAAAATTATTAGTGACAGGAAATTGATGAAACTTGACATGGTGATGATGGTATCCTGGGCTGCATCAAAACGATCATGACCTCAAAGGGTCAAAGGAGGTGACTCTTCCCCTCTACTCTTCCCTTGTGAGACCCCACTTGGAGTACTGTGTGCGGTTCTGGTGTCACCAGCACCAGAGCTGTTGAAGCAAGTCCAGAGGAGGCTATGAGGATGATCAGGCGGCTGGAGCACCTGAGAAATTGGGGTTGTTCAGCCTGGAAAAGAGAAAACTGTGTGGAGACCTCATAGCAGCCTTCTAGTATCTGAAGGGGCCCTACAAGGATGCTGGAGGGGGATTCTTTTATCAGGGACTGTAGTGACATGACAAGGAGCAATGGGTTCAAACTTAAACAGAGGAGATTTAGGTTAGATATAAGGAAGAATTTTTTTACTGTGAGGGTGGTGAGGCACTGGAACAGACTGCCCAAGAAAGTTACAGCTACCTCATCACTTGGTAGTGTCCAAGTCCAGGGTGAACAGGGCCGTGAGCAACCTGGTCTAGTGGAAGGTGTCCCTGGCCAAGGCAGTGGGGTTGGAACTACATCGTTTTAAGGTCCCTTCCAACCCAAATTGTTCTATGATTCTATGATTGTATAAGTGTCTGGACTGATTAACACTATCACTTAGAGAAACAAGACTAGATCTGGGACAACAGACTGAAGAAGAAAAGTCATCACAGAACGTTTATGAACTAGGATAAGTGTGAGAGTTTGGAGAACAGAATCTTTAGTGTATGCAAAAAGTGCCTTTACAACTGCAAGAATACAACAACTGTACTAGGTAATGCCATTAAAATGGGACATAGGCATTTCCCACCCACCCGTTTTTCCCCTCCCGAGTAAGTAATCTCAGAGATCCACATTCATTGGTCTCTTCCTGGCCTGAGATAATGTGTATACATACAGTTGACCTCAGTAGGATTTAAGCTTATATATACACACACTAGAAGCTTTATCTCATGGACAAAGGATACAGATCCAGAGCATGTATATGGATTCACAGTTCTGCTGTGACCTTACCTGTACAGCTGTAACCTGATTACTTGCATTGCATGGGAATGCATTAATAAATACAGGAGAGGCTCTTGTGCCTGTAAGCTTCTGTTTATATTGAAGGGCTTTCTCAGTTCCAACTCCATCTCCTATGACATTGGTTAAGACTCAGGCCACTGCTACATGCTCTCAGGGTATCTAGATGACATGTCATGGTTTGTTTTTCTGCAGCCTGCCAGTGCTGTAAACCCAGAATTGTAAGACAAGTTTCATGGGTGTGTGCCCATTTCCAGTCTGTTGGCTGGAAGAACAATAGAACAATAGTTTAGAGAAAAATACATCTCTTTGTGGAATACTTGTGTGTAAGTCTATGAATCTAAATCTGCAAAAGATTTAACTTGCAATATTCAGGGTTTGTGAAGCATTCTTCCCTCTTCCTCTCCATCTTCCTCTTTTCCTTTTCCCTTTCCCTTTCCTCCCCTCCTTCTTTTATTTAAGTTCCCTAGGGCTGGGATTTATGTTTCTTACATGTCCAACTGCAAACAGCAATGGGTGATGGTGGCAGCTGTCCACATAACTTCCCAAACACAAACACATTCCAGGCAGATCTTTACTGGAGTACAGATGTAGTTCGTGTTTGAACTGAGGTGGAGTATGACGGCACATGTTGTTTAGGTAAAAAGCTTTTGACCAGATCCTCCGGATCAGTGTGACACTAACTTCTTTCTTCTGTAGCTGCTTTCAGTGGACTTCTCCCTGGGATCAGTCAGTCTGGTCAGCACTGGTGGTGCATCCTGACAGGCAACCCCCTTCCAGACAGAGGGACTTGTCAGGATTTTCTTGTTGTGGAGGCTGACTTTGTGAATCTCTGTAGCTGGAGATGCTTTGCAATGATCCTGATGCTGCTTGGATGCTGGCCCCAACACACTGAGAGTCAGACCAGACCTAACATAAGTCATCTGATTGTGGAAAATAAACACTGGACATTCTATCCTCTGATACGTGACATTCTGTTAAGGCAATCCAGCAACAGAACTCCTGCACAGAGTTATATTTTCAATGTATTATTGAAGCAAGCTGACATGCAGTTCTTGTGTTACATTCAGAGAGTAGAATAGTTAATTCATAGCAGTACAACATGCTGTATTTTCAGGAGAACATGCAGA